GATTGAGAGACCTTTCTAACACACTAATGCCTTTGTTTGCATTATAAAATCTCACTTGGGCTCCTCAAGGATGGAAATATTATTGTTTACATTTGCATATGCAAGCTGGACAGGGAAAACCTCCAGTAAGAGCCTCAGGCTCTGGCTGGAATACAAACATAAGCCACATCAGGGAAACTCAGTTACAACTTGGTTGTCTCTTAACCTGGTTACTCATATGGTTTTGATTTGTGTTGGAGACTAGGCATGAACTGTATTCCACAACCAGACAAAAGCCTTTATACCATCAAATGCTTAGCATGACTGGTAATCATTACTGTTAATTGTAAAACAATTAAAAGTGCCAAAGTGACTTTAGGAACACAGATCTATTTGAAAATCAGTGGGTATTTTGGCCTAGGTTTTTTGATGTCTTTGTCTCGCTCTCTTAAGCAGTGCTGGCACGGATTTTTATGGTGAGATCTGGGCATCCAAGTCACTGAATCCCAGATCCTCACAGACATCTTCAAAGGCTCCCATCTCCCATAGTTTTTGTCATAGAAGTTAATACCTGGATAATTTAATGGATGGTTTTGAGCCACACAGATCAAAGCCACGCCAATATAGCTTTAAAATGTTTTGTTAATACTCCTGTCATTCAAGCTTGGTGTGCTGCTCTTAGGACTGGGCTCGGTTTTACTTTTTCCCCACCGTTCCCACTTCTTGCATCTGTATTGCTGCAACAAAGATGTCTGCAGCTCTGCAAAGCCCACCATGCTGGAGGCTTTCTAGCAGGAGCCCAGATTTGCTTCCTTGATGTTGCCTCAGTGAAACTCCAGCGAGGCACAAGGAGAATAAGCCAGGCAGCCACAAATGTGTGCTGCTGAGGGCAGGTGTGGAGTAAAAGAGCTGGGCTGTGCTACAGCCCCAACCTGAGCACAACTTTGGGTTCAAGCACTGTGGAAGACACCTGAGGTTGTATTTAATCAGGTCTAAAGGCTGTGCTTGAAGACCCTGGAGCATATCCTGGGTGGTCCTAGAGGAAATCCCTCTCTGCCAAGGAGAGAAATGCCCATCTAGCTGTCAGTGCGATTGGACCAAAGGCCTGACTGGGCTCGGAGCTCTGCGAGAAGGGTTATGAGCAGACATGCTCCTCCTCTCACCTGTAGTTCAACAGGTTTTCAGTGTGGCCTACACCCTCCCCGCCGTGTAAAATCACTGGCACCAGCAAGATCTCCCGGGTGCAACCAGGTAGGTTGTTGCCTTCTTAAAGCTAACATCCTTGTGAAGTCTCTGAATCTCAGGAGTGCATGGTTTGGATTTTTTTCCTAGTAGATTTTTGTACAGTTAGTGCCATTCTTCTTGCTTCAAAAGTTTTCCAAACATTATCAGCAAGTGGGGCACAACCTGGCGCATCCTGTGACCGACTGGCCTCTGCACGCACCTAGGGGGGCTTCTGCTCTCACACTTCAAGTGTATTAATTCATGTAGTAACTCAGGCCAACGCAGAGACCTACAGGGGGAAAGCCCAGCAGAGCAAACACCTCGTGTGCAGAGACAGGCTTGAAAACACAAAACCCTTCTTGCTGCGACTCCCGCAGCGCTCTGACGTCGCTCCGCTCCCGCCAGCAAAAGCTCTTGGTGGTCCCACAGCTGGACGGGTCCTTCCCATCCACCCGCCTGGTGGAAAAGCCAATTCAGTGCAACAGGCAGCACCTTCCTGCTTGCATGATGGTTTCTTCATATTCCCATTTTTTGTTGGTGTTTGGGTTTTTGTTTGTTTGTTTGTTTTGTTCCCCCCTCCCCCAACATATGTAGTTTAACTCTGAAGTTCTGGCCAAATTCCAGTTTGTGTAACCACCCCCCTGCTTCTCCCAGTCCCTTTTACAGTTTTAATCCCAATTCTGTACCCTCCTTCCCTTCCCATCTTCGATTCGCTGTTGTATTTCATGACAGAAATGACTTTATTTCATCAATAATCCTGGCAACCATTATTCCCATAACTGATACACTCATACACATTCCTACTTGAGAACGGCGTAGTGTTAGTTACAAAACCCCCTCCCAGCCCCAGGAGGGTTCAGCCAGCCATCTCTAGGTAACTGCTGTGCACAAACACATTCACAGCAATTAGCAGCATGCTCAGAGATCAGGAACGGTGCACGTTGTTTTACCACAGATGATTTCTGCTAATGCTTTATTTTGTTCTCGTTTAATATTTGTCTCCCAGTACAAGCACAACCCTGGGACCAGGCCCCGTGTGGGGAAGCTCTCTGAGGACAAGGTGGGGGCAGGCACTTTTTCCTTTCCTGAGGAGCCCCAGCTCTCTCTCTGCACCCATAAGCGCCACTCGTGTTTAGCAAGTGTGTCATGTTGAATCTGTACCAGCACGGACTGGCGTGCCAGCTACAGTCTTGCTGCATTTTTGGATTCTCTCCCAGTATAAATCCCACTTTGTAATTTCCGCTTTCAGCGGAGTGCCCGGGAACTACTTCTGTGTTCAAGGTCTTTGCCCTCTCAAGAGCAGCCACGGAGGAACAGCCCCACGGGACCTACACACAGTCTCAGTGCTGGATTTTCACAAGTGGGGCTGGTAGCACAGCCTGTAACTAGGATTCTCTAAAAACATTTACCTTTGCTTTAGCGTTTTGCCAAACGAAGTAAAAATTTTCACTTGGGGCATCTAGTTTTAGAGAATATGGAGGTTAGCTCACATTAATAAAAAAACCAAAACCAACAAAAACATAACAGGAGCATGGAAGAAGAGGTACAATGCCTCACACATCCATGCAGCTGAGATCTAAAATTCAGCAACAGCAGCTTTAATGTCAGGGATCTGCTCCCACATACTTTCTCCAGGGCAGACGGGAAACTAACAACTGAAATCTGGCCTCACAGAAAGTCCTTCACCCACCGATTTTCATCTGGTCTGTTAGACACAAACACACAGGCTTTGTTCCAGCAAGATGTATTAAGCTTCTGCACAGCAATCAATACGGCCGTTACACTAAAAAAAGAAAGATGTTTAAAGCAGACACAGATTTAAGTGTGCTATGATATACACTTATCATACCTTACACATACTCATGATGATGCTTTTCCCTCGCACCTAACGCGTGCACCACCACAGCGCGTGACCTCAAGAAGAAGTAATGTCGACTCGAGCTTTAAAAAACTACCTTGTTTTTCACCAAGATTCCAGCAGCCCAAGTTACTACTTACAATTTTCATACAAACATTCTGAGTATACAGTGCTGGAAAATATTTGGTACCACAGAGTTGTGCTTTAAAGTTTCTATTGGAGCTCCCATTAGCTGTAATGACACCTACTGCTAAGGACAGACCTGATTAACTGCAGGCTTGCACACTGCTAAATATAGGCAAATGTTTTTTGCATTTACTGTGGATCCTAGCGAAGAGAACGCTATGGATTTCTTTGGCCCTTTGTTTTAATGGGATTGCCAGAATGACTAGAATCTGAAAACTCACAGCTCATTACCAAGAACAAAATGCTGACCCAGGCAGAGCCAAAAGATTTTAAAACTACTTCAGAGACGAGATCTAACAGGCTGTTGTAGAATGTGGAGAGCATTTTCCCTCTCTTCACCCCTTTCTCCCATGCAGAACATTTGCTATATATTTACTGAATGTAAGGCTAAGCTAGAAATTTCCAGCCAATTTTGCATCCTGGAGAGGAGCAGGATGTTTTAAGCTACACACAATGCAATCACTACTCACACTCATCTGAGATGTTTACACTGCAGCTGTGAGTCTGCATTTTCAGCACAAGAAAGAGAGTTCAGAATCTGCAATGCATGTCCCGCAGCCCTTGAACATGGCCAGCATGGTAAGTATCCTTACAGCAGTTTTAAATTAAGAGATCCTCTTTAAACAGCAAGAAGAAAAGAGAAGATTAAAACCAGCCACAGTATCGCCTATTCCCCTATGGTTTTCAGACACACAGCAATTTTTTCCTCTTGTACCAACGGCCTTTATCCCCCTCTATGAACACGAGTCAAGTAATATTTCTAACCTTTCATTAAAGGTATTAACAAAAGACCCTGTTCTGAGGTGTTGAATGACCTCGAATACCACCCGAGTTCAGACACGTGATATTTCTGGACCAGAGAAGCAATAAAACACCCAGTTTTGCTGTCGAACGTCACATAAGTTTTTTCATTTGCTCTCACTGTGGATGTCACAGCTTGCCTCGCTACAGGTCTGAGGGAAATGCTTTTTACGTGAACGAGGTTTTCTTTTGTGTAGCCTGTGAGATAGGAATAGAGGTTTATGACTAAATTTCCAGTCCAGTCTACAGTAATGAGATGCTGTATAATCCAAAATGGTTATACAAAACCAGTCTGATACCTCTGGTCTTCAGGTATCTTAAGGCTTACAGGATTCCTATTTCCTGATGTATTTTGCATGTGGGAGAATGATTTCTATGTCTGCAACCATAACCAGCACCTTGTTCTTTTATTCCCTTTCTGTCAAAGTTTTTTTGGTGTGAGACTATAGTTTGTATTCTCAAAAATGTCTATAATGGACCTAACATTTTATCTCCAAGGTTTTCCAGATGCTATTTGTGCCTTTTAGATAGCAGAGAATTTTCTTTTGGGAGCACTTAAATGTCATGAAATGAGCCTGCTTTTGGGAAACTGAGGGACCAAATCAATGTATGTTTTGGGGTTTTTTTTTTGTTTTTTTTTTTTTTTTTAAATCTGGTCCTTGGTTTTCATTGTTACAGCTTTTTATCTGTAATATAAAGCTGACCTGCTGAAGAACATTGTGTGACATAATCTGGTATTATCTGTAAAACACTGGAAAGTTCCTGAGGGGGAGGTAAGGTTGAACAAAATCAGTGCATTGCCAGTCAAATCTGTTGCACTCAAACTTAAGATGTCAAGGGAATACAAACACCTTGAATGCAAGTTCAGAGCACTTTTGGAATCATTTCCCACGATGACTTCGTTCCACACAAATGAACCAGAAACAAAAGAGATCAAGAGCAGACAAACTTTGAAATAAGCAAAACTTCTTTAATTCAAATTTTCACGATAAAGATTTTAAAAAATAGAATTATTTTGCAGGCAGTTATTAGAAATAAGGTGAGACACGAAATTTAGAGCTATTAGGGACAGGATGACAACAACTGTATCTAGACTTACTTTGCTGGTCTCGGAAGTATATTTTAGCTCTTGTTTTTCTGTGAATTAAGACACTGATGTTGTTATGCTGCTTATCAGGGAAGGCAGTAGGTTGTATAGTTATCTCCTGATTGGGGCAAAATCACTACCCTGAAACCACACAACCTACTACCTCATCCTGTTAGAGCATCAAGCGCATCTTCTGAAAAAAAATAACATTTCACCATTTGCATTTCCTTAGCACTTTCTAGCCCACACATTTCTTAGCTTTAAGAAGACCATAATTATGTCCTGTCGGCCCTTCCCCACAGTTCTACCTGGAAGTCAGTCAGAGTTGGTGGGGTGACTCCAGAGACATAAGAACCACAGTGGCAAACACTGTCTCTCCCAAATTAGCATTATGTAATAAAAAAGCAAGTTAAATCAGCATACAAAAACTGATTAGAGAAACCTTTTTACCTAGGGTTCCAGCATTTACCAGTTCCAGGGCAGAACATGAGTGACTGGAAGATGCCCTCTTTGTTTTCCGTCCAACTCATCACTTCATAGTTTCTCAAACAGCCTGCGCACAGTGGATTTAAATAGCTGCTGAATCAAAAGTGGGATTTTCTATTGAGAATGAACACAAATGCCACAAGGTAATGGAGAAATGAGTTGGCTGTTTCCAAACGGCCCCTCTCATGGCAGTCTGAGAAAGCGGAGCGTGAGCACGCCCTGCTGCAGACCGGGTTGTACCTCCGTGCCCTGTGACTTACACCCCGTTTGCTCTGAGAAAATGACAAAAAGGAAATTGCTTTTGAAGCTGAATGGGAATACAGGGATCTAAACACAAGAAGGACATTTCTTTCATAACCCTTCTGCAAGAATCAAATCCAACATGTGGACAGAGCTGGAGAATGCTAATGTTCAGAAATATTTGCTTTGTCTTTCGCAGACATATCCAGCGATGATATCACAGCCACTTCAGGAAAGACAGTAGATTGTATAGTTATCTGACAGGCAGGGCATAACCCTAAAACTATACAACCTACTACCTCACCCCAAAGGACAGTCAGACTCTGATCAGATGAAACGCAAGTTGTATTCCCAGACAGCTGGACTGCTTGGCGACAACCTAGAAGAGAAAAAACTCTGGAGACAAATATTAACCAGTCTTGACTCTGAAACAGTTTGCTATATACCGGTCGACATTTTGCTTAATGAGCTCTAGTTTCACGTTTGAAACGTTTAATAGATTTGCAACTTGTGAAGTCATGTCACTGACAAGATACACGAGGGGAAAGAGGATACAGCATTCATTTTTAATACGTGCACTTCTGTACTTCCAGTTCTGACATGACTGCATCTTATCAAACCAGTTTTGTCGCTTCAGAGTGGATGCTGACTTTGAGGGATTGTTTAACATGCTTCTAGACATTCCTCTATTATCCTAGCCTGTAAGAGCTGAGTTTCTCTAACTGAATTTCCCAAGTTGGGTAAATCCGTAAGACTGAACAAAGAATTTGTCAAGACTGTGAGGAAATGCTGTGGCCTACTCAAACAATATACTCTACTCCTCAATGAACAGTAACCCAGCTCTGAATCAAGGGCCAAACCAAACATATCCTACCATACTGCACAGACTCTGGTTAATACGACTAGCAGAATGGCCACTGTAGTATAATCTACTCCAACCTCACACTTGATGTTCCGGTTTGTTATTCCCTACCACCTGGTTGGATAGACCACAGCACCTCTCATTCAGGGCAGATATAAAGAAGTGGAAATCACTGAGATACTGGTCCATACTGGTAATATAAACACTGCTTTAATAAATAAACAAAGTTTTAAAGCAAATAGCCCAGTTTAATCCGCTAATTTGCTTTTTGTTAACACTTAACTAAAGAAAACAATAAATGACACACACATCAGCCGCACACAGATAAACTACAGCCATGTTTCACTATAAATCAGATCTCACCCCAAAGGCAGTAGGTCCCATACTCAGAACTGAAGTGATCTGCCACTGCTTTCAGAATAATTGATATGGGGATCTAGAAAGAGAGGAGCAAGAGAAAACACATACATATCAATTTCATATCACTGCATACTGAAATAATTATGAGGTGAGTGAGAGCACTTGTGAAAAGAGAGAACAGCTTCTCTGTACATCATTTCCTCAAGGAGAACCACGCACAGCACCAGCTTTCTCATTCAGTACTTACTACCACCATTATACCACGGCCCGTGGGGACACCCAATTTGAAATGGACAAAGTACGGTTGAAAAACAGAAAAGGTATTTTTTTTAGGTCTGACTTAAATGTTAAGAGCATTGCCGAGACAGGCAGACGGAGGTATCAGCTACTTCACCTTCAAGGAACAAAAACTTGGAAACGGAGCAGAGAAGGAAGGAGAATGCAGAATTAGATATCGATATGTTAACCCATAGAAGGCAATGTTATACCCTCAACTTCAAAGATCTTTTCACTGTAGTGGACTGAGACCACATGTAGAAAGAAGTTAGTGGTTGCTGTGAGCTGTAGGCGGTGTCTATTTGTTGCACAGAACAGGAATGGTGCAGCTCTGCCCGTTCTGAGACCACTGTACCAGAGGGAATACTGTACAACCCCAGATTTCACGTCTTGTCACATCAGCGCCCTTGTAGGCCAAAAAGGATATACAATAAAATATTCCTCGTGTAGCGTGCAGAAGGAATAGCCTGAGAGATTTCAACATCTCATTAACGTACACTGGTGAAAACTGGCTGCAGAAGCCGCTCTCTAGCCACTATCAAAGGAACCCATTTGGAAAGCTCTGCAGCAGAAAGTACAACGTTTTTTTCTACGTAAATTCTAAATATCTGCATTTTCTGACCAGCTTTTTGGCAAGGTCAGTTGCTCTCTGCATAATGCTCCGAAAGAAACCCCAACCCTGTCTCTCGTTTTTTTACATAAAATATTTTAAAACCAACGTCTTCGTCATACGTGCGGTCAGAGATCTCAGTATTTTTTCCTAAGAGCCAAGAATTTGCATTGCAGCTTTGGCTAAAAGCGCTGGGCAGACGTCAGTCGGTTTTAGTCACGCTGGGTGGGTACCTGTGTATTGTGCAGTCGCCTCACACAAAGTGTAAAACAAACCCTACGTTATATAAATCTAACAGCGTAACATAATTGGAGGAAAGCTGTGTATTGTGTGATTGACTTCAAAGTGAGACTTTTGTATAAGCATCTGCTTTATAGTGGACGAATAAAAACAACACAACCTTTCAGTGTAGCAACTCTTTAGATGGTCTGGTGAAAACAGTTCAAAGGACCAATGCGGAACTGAAAGGAGCTTTCACAGTAGTGAAAAGCCCAAACTATCCCACCGGCCCAAACACCTCCTACAACTGGAAATTCTGGATGAAGAAGCTACACTTAACGGCTGATTCCAGTGACTCTAAGAGACAGAACTGAAAATATTGATCCAAACAACGGCAACGTTTTGGAAAGGCTGAATATGTTCTAGGGATTTACATCTCCTGCCTATCTTTAATGTATCTTGAGCCTATCTTCAATATATCTTGACCTCACTTTCACTTTTAGGTGCAATCTTAGATAGGAGATTGGAAAATGTTCAGCTTTCTTGAAAAAAACAGTGAGCTTTTATTAACCATTTCAAAAGGATTCTCTTATTTTTACGACGATAATGATGCTAAATATTCTTTTTCTTTATGCGCAGTTCTGATATAACGTTGCCTTAATGTATGTTTTCCCACAAAATAGAAGTAGTTTCAAAGACATTGAGGTAATTATTTGTAGAGTACCATAAACTTTGTGTAATACTATTTTCTGTAAGATCTGCTATTATGGGTATTAGTTGAACTCATTAGCAGACAAAAATGGAAAAGAATGTGCTTTATCCAACATCTAAAATTAATGAGTCTTCTGCTCTCACAAGCTGCTCATAAACTTATTTTAATTGACTAGATCGCCAAACAAGGATGAACTTTAAAATACTTAATGAAAGAAAAATGCATGTTCATTTTTTTTTTCTAAGAAGGAGACACGCATACTAAATAACTATCTGGCAAGAGTGATGTTTCTAGTTTAACAACTGTTTAATACTAGCAAAAATATGACATTTCCATATTCCAACTCTCACTGCTCACTGAAAAATGTCTGGGAAATGATGTTAATAAATACCTCAGCAGTCACTTTTTAGAAGGCACAGGGCCAAGTCTGCTATTTCTATGATGTCATAGGAAAGAGGACAGTTTTAAATTAGGGTTGCTATATAATTAAAAGCCTTACTAATTAACAGGCTCTGGGACAACACAGGAGAGGCGTTTTGTGATTTCAGAGCACCTTCCACCCAAAACGTCAGGATGATTTAAAACCACCAAATGTCACTGGGCTCCCAGGAGGAAAGTACATGCTCTGAGTGTGTGCTCCAGGTAGCCCACGGGGATTACACCAGGGAAAAAGATGGCTCGGAGGCTAGTGACAAGGTGGGGATCCTCCTCAGCAAGGCTGAGGGTCTGCATGCAGGTCACATCAATGGTTTCCAACATCTCTCCATTAACATGATTATCCCCTGGCTTCCAAAGCGCTGTACAGTCACCACTCTGCTCCTACAGACTATCCATTCACTGTTCAAAATGTCACAAACATTTCCTGGCCAGAGTGCTTGTGGGGTATAGATGGCTGAGGATCTGCTCCGGTGGACACCGCAGCCAAGGGAATCTTTCTGACCTGATTCAACAGGACCTGGATCAGTATATTTTTAACTAAATATAAATATACCTCCATACAGAGTGCATCCTTCAAGAAGTAAAAAGTATTCTACAAACACAGATTTTGTGACTCCCGTGAAGTACAACACACATCATGATCTTACCCATTACTTAAAGACGGCTGCTTCTAAAATGGCAAACGACAGCTCTTTCCCCAGTTGTGAAACTTTACTGTAATTTAATAATACAGGACAGATTCTGCCAGAACTTCGGGCAGGTACAATGGGAAATACTCGCAGGACTGAGCCTCTACAGCCTCCTCCTCCGTTCACTGGAGAGGCACAAGTTTTTCTAAAATCGGATTCAGTTGGGCTCCTGCTCTAGAGACTTCCCTGCACAAGTGTCTATCTTTCTCAGCTGGCTGCAGAAGAACATTGGCGTGCGTACACTAACCTTTTAACATCTTTAATTAGGCATTAGTACAGCCAGGCTGTAAGTGGATCAGACGCATCAGCCCCTACCTTTGTGCTAACGTCCAAATGGGTGATCAACTTTGGTTGTGACGTTTGCTCATCAGTGAGGTCACTTGGGGCTGTAACGTTCAGGTGTGCTGTTCTGCTTTTACAAACCCTATTGACATTTTTGCGTGGAAACATTTTCCTCAAAGTCATTCAGGAGACTTCTTTTAAGAAGGGGAGCAATTCAAATGCTACTGAAATGAAGAGTCAACCTTCACTTGGCCTCAGTGGCTTTGAAGAAGGTGCTGATGGTCCAACAGAGCAAAAATTCTGACAGACAGAAGTTAAAAGCAACACTTGTGTAGCCTCAGCAAGCTTACACAGCAGAAAATAATGTAGGAGCCAATGACTATTTGCGTTTAGCAGTGATTCTATTAAAATCAGTTATACAATTTTTGTTCACCTTTGTCTACTTTATTACACAGAACAGCATAGCTACTGTAACATGGTACTATTTAATAAATAATTCTATGTATTCACTGAAACCATTGTCATTATCTAACTGTTTGCAAATATCTGGGAAAGAGGAGCACCTGTGAAATGAGTCAGAACTCCGGCTAAATGTCTCTGAGCTCTGCAATATTTATGTATGTTCCTAAAATCTGAACGTTTTATGTATGAGGGGGGGGAAAAAAAAAGGTAACAGTATGCAAAAACATACCGATACATTAGCTTAAATAATTCAGTCTCACATTCTGTAGCCCGATGACCAGCCCAGACCTACACAGGAGCTTCCTTATTCTCATGTGGACCCATGCTGAAGTCAAGGAAATGCCTCCATTACAAATGACCACTCATGGAGCATGTTTCAAAAGGTTTATAATGGGATCAAAAAATGGGCCGTGCTTAATGATAGCTGCTTTAACCTACTGAAGGGGTGTACAGAGAGCTGACTAGCAGTAAAGACAAGGAGCTTGGGCTGGGAATACATCAAAGGCGTTTGTATGTGTGTAGAACCTTCACAGACATGTTCTATACACGTATGTTAGGCGTTTCATGGCCTTACTGATATAAAACACCTTGAATGTTAAACAGATGCTTCAGAAGGGAATGTATGAGGAAAAAGAAAGTTTTCCATCAAAACACCACCTCATTTTTCTTGGATGTGGGAATCGTGTCTTCTGCTTATGCAAACTGCAATGCCTAAACTGACAAAATTTTTTATTTTTCTGTTGCATTTATTTCTGAGTTTTGCTTAGGTAATACTCCGAACACTAAAAAGCCCTAAAAACTAGTATTGAAGAGAATGATGAAAACACTCAGAATCTCTCAAAGCTTCCATAAAAGGGGAAATTAAACCAGGGGTAATCACTGGCTGCTCTGTACGTTGCACTTGTATTCTTAAGCAAATAAATATTTAAAGAGATGCTCTTTTTTTTTTTTTTTTAAATAAACTCCAAAAGGAAGGCAGAACCGTTCAATGTATTACGAGCTATTTGTTTTGAGGGACTTAAATATTTATCTTCCATGTTTTCCCAGCATAATCTTTCCGTCTACTTACTTCCCAGGCGAGTTGTTGCGTTCACCCCGATGGGCTTTCTGCCCAGGTCTAAGAAGGCTGCCGGCGTGACACGGGTGGCTGAGACAGCAGCAGCAGCAGCAGCAGGGGACTCGTGCTGGGCTGCCTTTCGGAGCTCTCCATGGCAGAAGTGACGATTCCCAGATCCTAATGCTCAGGAATCAGGGTGAGGCCAGCGTCCAGGGGAGATGAAACCTGTGTGGAAATGGTAAAACCACCAGGGGCGAGTGAGGGATGTCTTAGGAAAAGCAAATGTTACAGGTACTCTTGATATCTTACCGTGCCTAAAAGCAAAAAAGCAAGGCTGGATTATCTGGGAGATGAGTGTCTGCAGTAAAAGCAGAGGAAGCTGTGACAAATTAAGGTTTGTTTCTTGTTAAGAAAAGAGCTAAGAAAATGTGTCAGTTTTGTTTTCTCTGCAAGGGATAGCTACGAATAAAAGGGGCATATAACACCCTTCTTCTAGTAAGCATTTCCTAAATATTCATAATTTATCTCCACGCTCTAATGCAGATGTATCTATGCAGATGACACAAAAATGAAATCTTAATAACACCCCCCCCCCCCCATCGGACCTTATTTTTGAAAGAGCTGAACTCAGCTGACATTACCTGGACTTGCTTAACACCTTTGAACACAAAATCAGACATTTAAATTGAGCATGCTTATCTTTGATCGGATACATGATGTCCAACTCTCAAAACTGTGTCTTTCCTGCTTCCCCTCGAGCCCCGCGAAAATAAAAAAAAAACAACTCAGCACATTCACTGATGCAGAGAACAGTCAGGATTAGAGTCTTCCAGCCTCTCTAGTTAAGTACTCAGCCCTCTCACAACTAGTTAAGTACTCAGCCATCTCACAAGAAATTATTTGAGTAACGTTTTTAAGCATTTTTGGATGGAAAAATATCTTACTACACAGGGAATCTTAAATAAGCCGTTTGACTTTTAAGTCAAGCAGATTTGGCTTTTTAGTAGCTGCAGTTCATACGGTGTCACACCCAACCTATGTGATACCACCGATAGGAAGTGTTATTTATTTCAGTTCCTTATGTAAGCTAGGAAAATAACATTAACCAGAGTCACAAGACTGTGAAAACAGTAGTCATCTGACATCATCTTAAAACCCGCCATCTCCAATCTCAACCCACAAATTCCTTGTTTGGAAAACTGAATTTTTCACTCTGAAATGGATTTAAATCCCCGAAACCTATTTTTTTCTTTTAAAAAGAAATGCAATAAAACAGTATATGCAGGCCCTAGCTTAATTAAGCACAAGAGGGAATATCTGTCAGGGTATGTTCTAAGCCTCAACAAGAAACTAAAATTCATTTTGCAGAAATGCAGCTGTGCCAATAGTTCTAGTTGGTAGAAAAATGTCTTCTGCCCTTTGTCCCATAAGGCTTCCATTTAAAATTTCAGCCTTTAGTGAGACCAAGCAGCTGACAAGTAAGCGTGAGGAAATTAGTAGTCTGGGACCCAGGGTTAGATCAAGGGTCTGAATAACCCAGTGTGACATGGATTTAGCCTAAAATTCTGTATTTACATCAATGAACACTTACATTTGCCAACACCACAAACAGGATAAAGTTCCTCAAGGACTAACGAAGCTTTGTATTATGGCAGACAAGCAAAATCCATCCTTTACAAACTGTTACATTTGTCACGTTCACTTTCGATCTGTAGCATCTGAAATTGTTCATAGCATTGTACAAAAAGCTGGCATGAAATCACCAATCTATGTAGGATGCTCATTTTTAAGTATTGTTAAAAGCTTAAAATTCATTTCCATTTTAGAACGATGTTCTGAGGTCTGGATTGTATTTTGTCTCAAGCCACTGGGCTTGGTTCAACCTGACAGTCAAGAAGCAAAAGCCTGGAAGTTCACATACGTTAACGCAGGGAAAAATATTGGTCCAGGCCTTGCAAACCCAAACTGCAGTGGGCTGTTTACTCCTGGTTACTTTTTTTTTGTGGAGGGGAGGGTAGAGACCTGCTCAAAAATCCCTTTTGCGAGAGCAAGTATTCTCACTGAGCCTGTCAGACATTTTCAGGCCCACGTTAAGGCCACAGCTTCCCCACGGCACACCCGATGAGCCTTGCGTCCCCGTCCTCTGGGCCTTCTGGAGCCTGAGCCAGGCCCTGCCTCTTTGCACGCCTCTAACTCCCAGGGACCTCCATGGATTTGCTGCTAACACCACTGCTAATTATCGAGTTCCCTGTCTCCTTTTACCTACTGTTTGTCTTTGGTTACCAGCAGATGATCTCCGCGTACACCAACAGCTTCGTTACCGCCCTTTGATACTGTCTCAAGTTGTGTTATGATTAAAAAAATACACACGTGCTGTTGTCACGATTACTTTGCTCTGCATCAATCAGTTATTTTCCATTCGGAGTATTCCATGCTGCGGGCCCAACAAAGAGACTGAAATGAAGGCTCAGACACAGGCTCGCTGCGCGGGCTAGGGAGATTACCAGCCTCGATAGCCGTCCAACGCAAAGCCCAGTCTGAGACCCAGACCAGGTTTACGCAGCGCAAGTATTAAAAAAAGAGGGGAGAACCACCAAAATTTGCTGGTTTTACCGCAAGGGTCCGCTGTGACTATTTACACCCCTGTTTTGAGGGGGGTGAAGGCTTTGGGAGGGCAGGGGCAGCGACACGGCGCTCGCTGGCACACGGAGCCCTCCCTGAATCACCGGTGAGGAGCTCGGGTGGCCGGACACGCAGCTGCCTCGTTCAGCTCCCTCCATACAACCTTTGATTTGCTCAGGTGACCGGTGCTCTCCATAGATTTACTCTAGTGTAAGTCTTTTTTACCTGACAGGAAAGCTTTCACTGGTTAAACATTCATTAACGGCTTTAAAGCAGGGCTTCGGGTGGTAGGGAGTGAGCAGCTCTTTGCCAGAGCTCGGCGGTGTGTTAGACTCTTTGTGTCCATTATTCATGATGCTGTTGCTACAGGCCCTAATTTTACATAAAGGAAAGTCACAAGAGAACTGTTAGGATGAGCAACTAGGAAGAGCACAGGAAAAGAGCACCTTGTCCGTCGATATTAGAGACACAGTTTAGGATTACATTTTCTGATTTTGAAGCCTCTTGGGGGTGGAAATACGCAACCCGTTTTCTCTGAAGAGTGACAAGCTGAAACCTAAAATCTTGAAGACGGTCTTTAAAATCAATTTCTTCATGTCCTCTGCACAACTCCATTCCAATTCCCCGCTTATGAAAAATACATCACCTCTTATCTCCAAATTCATGTGCCTTACAGTTCCTTTTACCTCCTATTTAAAAAACTAGCAAAATCTTATCTTAGCTATCATGTAAGCTATTGTTCTGCGCCTGCTCTGGGATGCCAGATTTCAGAATTTGAAATCTGTTGGGCAAGGAGCATATTATACTTTCTCTGAAGATAGAAATGTGCACACTAATAGTTATCAAGCCGGCAATACAGGAAGCAGACTTGACGCGACTGAAATAATTAATTCCCCTCCCTTTAACAACATAAAAAATACTCATATAAAAATAGCTACTTTTCTATCTCACAGCATTTATAGCAAACATACTGGACGGTATTTCAACATTTTCCTGCAGGAGAAATGACTTTGAAATAAGCTTCAGTCACAGAATCCATGACATGTAAATTAAGATATACTTCACAAGATATATCTTAGTTGTGAAAGTAGGTCATGCATTTAAGGCATTTCTAGACTCTGTTTCTTGATGTAAATATTTTGAAAACGTTTTTCGTGTACAGAACAAGATTTTAATTATTTATCAGATTTCGTTCTCTAAGAACACTAAAGGAATGGCTATTTCTAAACGCCCTCATAGGGTAATAAGTATAACTACTTCCTTGTAACCTTTTATAACTTTATGTAGTGTTTATTCAATCCCTAAGGGAACTGCATCTTTGAAGCACACCACAGAAAAGTTGATACAGTAGAAAAAGTCAATGTGTGAAGATCACATGCTGCACACGTAGGGATCCTGACTAAACAGCATCACGAAATTTTCAAACGTTTTACTACCTTGTATTATTTTGGGACTCTTGGAATTTCCTCAAGTCTGGTTTTGGGTATTTGTTCACCTGGCTATGAGCAAGTTATTCCATGAGCAAAGTTGAGGAGGAAAAAAAAAAGGAGAGAGAGAAAGTAAGAAAGCAAGAAAGTCTATGTGTTTGTAACGTGAATTGAGTTTCAAGGCCAGAATGTCTATCAAGAGAATCTAAAAAACCCAAGGAAATTCAAATCAGGACTACTATCAATTTATCCACTAGGTGTCACAAAATAATCATACAACCAGATGAAAAGCAATTACACGTAAAATGTGTCAGTGTACTACATCAATGAAGTGCTGCTTTGAAACGAAATCTGTTATAAGAGCAGATGCAGGAAAATGTCATGAATCTCATGAATATACATACTGTCAGGAGTGTATGAGAACCTGAGCCATGATACACAAAAGCTGTTGCTAACCACGGTGTATGTCATGTAATAGATTCACATACAAGCATATAAATGTTCCATTAAAAAAAAAAAAAAATCCTAAATTCTAAAAGTGGTATTACCAGTTCTCTGAATCACAAGTCTTATGTTTCTTGCTTTTTAATGCTCAGCTACTGGGCTAATGTTTTATGTCAGGCTATCTACAAATCTGGAAAAATCCCTCATGACTATAGGGCAAGCGCCACAAAGAAAACAAGTTCTGAGGGCTAAAATGTGTGAGGAGAAGAAACAAAAGTACGTTTTTATTACAATAAAATCAAAACCAAACGCCAAGCACTGGAACTGGCAGTAACATGCTGATAGTCACTCCTTAGATCCAGACTGTGCTTATGGAAGGGTAGATTAGGAAGGTCAGGGCAGAAAATTTCTGAATTGTTCTGTGGCCATTATTCATGAGAAATTAACCTCTACACTGGAGGTGGTTTTGTTCTTAAAATATTCCCGGGCCATTCTAAATTCATAATTACATGTACACCTGCACCCATCCAAACCCCTGACTACATTAAAGGATCAAGGCTCTGCTGTTGAAACAGGCACTCTGGTTTCTAAAACGGTTCTTTTAACAACAGTAACTTTTCCTCAGAGTTGCATAAAATTTTTACGGGGCAAGTAGACTCCGGTGTGAATTTATCATTATCTGTACTCACACAATTAAAAATGTTGTAATCAACAGTGTATGTAGCGTTATAA